AAACTCTTCAATAAAAAGACACAGAGTCGCAGGCTGGATTAAGAAACAAAATCCAAACTTTTGCTGTCTCCAGGAAACACATTTAGCTACAAAAGATAAAAATAGGCTCAAAGTTAAAGGATGGAAAACAATCCTACAAGCAAATGGACCAAAAAAGAAAGCAGGAACAGCTATATTATATCAGATAAAACAGATTTCAAACTCAAAAAGGTAAAAAGAGACCCCAATGGTCACTACATTATGAACCAGGGGACAATACTTCAAGAAGAAATAACATTCATTAACATATATTCACCAAACGAAGGAGCACCAAAATATATCAGATAACTATTGTCATCTCTGAAAACAGACATCAGAGAAAACACATACGTAGTGGGAGACTTCAACACACCACTAACAACAATGGATAGATCAACGAGACAAAAAATAAGGAAAGACACTAAAGCTCTAAATAAGGACCTAAAGCACTTGGGCTTAACAGACATCTATAGAACACTAAACCCCAAAAAAACGGAGTACACATTTTTCTCAAGTTCACAAGGATCATTCTCCAGGATCGATCACATACTGGGACACAAGACAAACATCAACAGATACACCAAGAATGAAATCACACCAACCATCTTTCCTGACCATGAAGGCATCAAACTAGAAATAAACCAAAAAAGAAGGCAAGGAACTCTCCTACCTCTTGGAGATTGAAAAACCAGACTACTGGAAGACCATTGGATTAATGAGGAGATCAAAGAAGAAATTAAAAAATTCTTTGAATTGAATGACAAGGAGGACACCAATTTCCTAAATGTATGGGATGCAGCAAAAGCAGTAATAAGAGGAAAATACATAGCAATAAATGCTCACATCAAGAAACAAGAAAGAACTCAAAGAAATAAACTAATCTCAAAGCTCAAAGATCTAGAAAAAGAACAACAACAAAAAAAAAACCAAAACCAGTAGAAGAAAAGAAATAATAAAAACCAAAGCAGAAATAAATGAAATTGAAACTAAAAAAAAATCCAAAAGATCAATGAAACCAAGAGCTTGTTCTTCAAAAAAATCAATAAAATAGACAAACCCCTAGACAGGCTTACAAAGGAAAAAAGGGAGTAAGCACAAATAAACAGGATCATAAATGAAAGAGGAGAAATCACAACAAACACAGCAGAAATCAAAAGAATAATCAGTAACTACTATGAACAGTTATATGGAGACAAGTTCAACAATCTAGAGGTGATGGATAAATTCTTACAACTCTACAATCACCCAAAGCTAGATAAAGAAGAAGTAGAACACCTAAACAGGCCAATTACAAGCAGCGAAATTGAAATGGTAATCAAAAATCTCCCCAAAAACAAAAGCCCAGGACCTGATGGATTTACAAATGAATTCTACCAAACATTCAGAGACGAATTAGTGCCTATCCTTCACAAACTCTTCCAAAAAATTGAGAAGGAAGGGACAATACCAAACATGTTCTATAAAGCCAACTTTACACTAATACCAAAACTGAAAAAGGACAACACAAAAAAGGAAAACTACAGGCCAATCTCCCTAATGAACACTGATGCAAAAATCCTCAATAAAATTTTTGCTATAAGAATCCAACAATGATCCATAAGATAATTCACCACGACCAAGTAGGATTCATTCCAGGGACACAAGGATGGTTCAACATCCGAAAATCAATCAACATTATCCAACACATCAACAAAAAGAAATATAAAAACCATATGATAGGGCCTCCCCGGTGGCGCAGCGGTTGAGCGCTGGGTTGCGAAGCTGCCCGCACCTCTGCGGCGCCGGTTCGATCCCCGGCTGCTCCCCGGCCACCGGAGGAGGGTCCCACATGGCGCGCAGACCTCTCCTGCCGCCCGCTGCTCCCCTCAGCAGTGTACTTCAGTCCTTCTGCCTGCTCTGCTCCCCGCTCTGGCTCTGGTGAATTCTCTCACCCTCCGCGCTTCTGACTGTACCCAGTCCTTGTATAAAATAAATAAATAAATAAATAAAAAATAAATAAAAAAAAAAAACCATATGATAATATCAATAGATGCTGAGAAAGCTTTTGATAAAGTGCAACACCCATTCATGATAAAAGCCCTTGAAAATTCTTGGGATACAAGGAACATACCTCAACATCATAAAGGCCATATATGACAAGCCAGTAGCCAGTATCATTCTCAATGGTGAAAGCTGAAAGCAATTCCATTAAGATCTGGAACAAGACAAGGATGTCCACTCTCACCACTGCTTTTCAATATAATACTGGAAGTCCTAGCTAGAGCAATAAGACAAGAGAAAGACATCCAAGGAATCCAAATAGGAAAAGAAGAAGTCAAACTATCACTATTTGCAGATGATATGATAATATACATAGAGAAGCCCAAAAACTCCACAGAAAAACTAATTCAACTTATCAATCAGTTCAGTAAACTGGCAGGATACAAAATCAATATGCAAAAGTCTGGCCTTCCTATACACAAACAATAAATCTGAAGAAGAAGAAATAAAAAAAAACATCCCTTTTGTTATCAAAAAAAAAAAAAAACAAAAACAAATACTTGGGAATAAATCTAAAAAAAGAGGTAAAGGACCTATACAAAAAAACTATAAAACACTGTTAAAAGAAATAGAAGAAGACACAAAGAAATGGAAAGACATCCCCTGCTCATGGATTGGAAGAATAAACAATATTAAAATGGCCATCCTACCAAAAGCAATATACAGATTCAATGCTATTCCAATCAAAATTTCAATGTCATTCTTCAAAGAAATAGAACAATTATTGATGAAATTCATATGGAATCACCAAAAATCCCGAATAGCCAAAGCTCTCCTGAAAAAAAAAAAAAGAAGGGAATGGAGGCATTACACTCCCAGACTTCAAACTATACTACAAAACCATAATCATCAAAACTGCATGGTATTGGAACAAGAACAGACATACAGACAAATGGAATCAAATAGAAAATCCAGAAATAAACCCACAGATTTATGGTCAATTAATCTTTGACAAAGGAGCAAAGACTATGCATTGGAGCAAAGAAAGTTTGTTCAATAAATGGTGCTGGGAAAACTGGGTCGCTACATGCAAAAGAATGAAGCTTGACCACTACCTCACACCATACACAAAAATCAACTCAAAATGGATTAAAGAACTAGACCTAAGACCTGAAACCATAAAATATATAGAAGGAAATGTAGGGCAAAACACTATGTTATTTGCACATCAAAGACATCTTTACAGACACATCACCCAAAGCAGTGATAGTGAAGGCAAAGATAAACAGCTGGGACTACATCAAATTAAAGAGCTTCTGCACAGCAAAAGAGACAATAACAAAAACAAAGAGAAACCCCACCAACTGGGAGAACATTTTTGCACCCAACACTAATGATAAAGGACTGATCACAAAAATCTGCAAAGAGCTGATGAGACTCAACAACAACAAAGAAAATAATCCAGTCAAAAAATGGGCAGAAGAGCTAAAAAGAAACTTCTCTGAAGAGGAAATGCAAATGGCCAACAGGCATATGAAAAAATGTTCAACATCACTTGTAATCAGGGAAATGCAAATCAAAACTACCATGAGATACCATCTTACACCAGTGAGAATGGCACATATTAAAAAAAAAAAATAACTAGCAACAACAAATTTGGCGAGGATGTGGAGAAAAAGGAACTCTTCTGCACTGTTAGTGGGAGGGCAAACTGGTCCAACCACTATGGAGAGCTGTGTGGAGATTTCTGGACCTACTAAACATAGAGCTTCCATATGATCCAGCAATTCCACCCCTAGGTATTTACCCAAAGGACACAGAAACATCAATTCCAAAGAGCACCTGCACCCCTATGTTTATAGCAGCACTATTTACAACAGCTAAGCTTTGGAAACAACCCAAATGCCCAAAAATAGATGACTGGATCAAGAAGATGTGGTACATATACACCATGGAATATTACTCAGCATTCAAAAAAGATAAACACATACAATTTGCAGCATGGATGGAGCTGGAAGGGATCATGCTCAGCAAAATAAGCCAGAAAGAAAAAGAAACATACCAGATGGTCTCACTCATTGCAGGAATCTAGAAAACTTAAATAAGAGACCAGGAAATAGAATAACTATAAGAAAGTAAAAACCAAAATCAACAAACAATTATAAACCAGAGACACTATAGGGGGTTTGGGGGGCAGGGAAAGGAGTGTTTGGGGTCAAAATAAGGGGGTTGCAATGTATGGGGAATATAAAAATAAAATTAAAATTAAACAAAAAAAGAAATAATTGCTTTTTTAGGTAGCAAAAATAGGGCACAAAAAAGTTAAGTTTTAAAAAAAATTTTTTTTTATATATCCAAGAACTGGGGTATAGGCCAGAGGTAGAGAGTGGTGAGTGGACTCAACAGAGGGAGTGAGCAGCAGAACAGGTGGATCTACTGAAATACACTGCTAAGTGGAACAAAGGTAGAGACAGGAGAGATCTGCTGCAAAAAAGAAAAAATTGAAGTTACATTAAAAAAAAAAACAAAAACCCTGTGATCATATATTGATTGTATTTCCTTTTATGGACTTGAATCTATTTACTGAATTTATGAATCAATGATGGATATATATTAAAGTATTTATTGCAATATGTCTCCTTCACAGTCACTAAACTAAGGAACTAGAAAACTGAAAAAACATTGCAGAATATACAGCTGAAGCACAAGGGGTTGGGGAAGTGTAAAATAGGGATGGGGCCTAACATCTATAGTAAAGCATTATGGGGCATTAGGGGTAGGTGTCAAGCACAGCATTCACCTGATGAGGTATGAACATATCCCCTAAAGCACACACAGGCTTGGAAAACTACACTGCCTCAAGGAAGTGACAAAATCACAATGATCTACATCATTCAACTTTCAGCAGTGTTTGCCTATAATAGAGACATTTTTTTGCCTTGGCCTGACAAAAGCAATCACAGCTAATTGTCCTTGAACCTTATAGGAAGAGTTGTTTTTACCTTGTGCCATTCTTATCTGGTTCGTGTCTTCCGCCGACTACATTCACTGGAATCACAACAGGCTTCGTACTGGCTACAACCGCAGATTCTGATAAAAATGCTGAATCACATTGGGTTGTCTTCTTCCCATTGTTAGCAACCCTACTTTGAAAGAAGACACCATGTAAGCCTCGTGTTTTCTAAGATAAAGTGTAATGAAACAATTTTTACAACATTCCGACATTATCCACCTGCATTCACTGATATATTCTTAAAACCATGATGAAGTAATAACCATAAGCAAGGAGAATACTCCTTGCCCCAAAGCCATATGTACAATTATGACACAATGTGATGGTAAAGAGTACATTTTTGACATGCTGGGAGGCTTTACACAGGTGGTAAAAGAAATACAGCAGGTCACCAAAGGTATTGGTGGAGAAACCACTCTACATAGACAATCGATCGTAAACAGTATGATAGGGCACATCACATCTCTGTGTTTCCTAAGCACACATCTCTGTGTTTCCCCTGTGTTTGAAAGGGAAAGAACAATAACTGAGAATTCAGTGCACCCAGAAATTTTAAAACATTCATTGTTCCACAGAAAATCGGAGTTCACTGTGGAAGACTACTGCTGCTTAGACAAGAGACTTATTATTTAATGTGTACTGTTCTTTGGCCTTTGTACTTTTTAATGTAAAAATGAGCACCTAATTGAACTTGTACTAGGAGTATATATTAGAAGATCTCTGATAAATTCTCATGGGTGAAAAAGATTTATTTTTAAAATATTCAACACACATATCATGTAATGACATCAGTGTCATGTCCAAATAAGTCTCCCCTACCCAAAACAACAATTTGTCATCTGTCATGGACAAAAATAATTGCCATTATGTTCTGAGTGACCCAGAACCGCACATCATGTGAGGAGCCCAGCTGCAAGTGCAGAAGTACAGGTCGGGAATTAAGATAGCTATAGTGTAACTATAACTTTGGACATCTTTAGCATATTCATGGAAGTAAAAGTCATGGACAGAAGACCTGGGATACTTCAACTTGTGCAAAGGCAATGGGGTTGAAAAGATGTAGGAAAAACTTATTGAAGTCAAAGTATGAGAAATGGGAGTAGGATACCAGGCCAGTGAGTTCTCCCCTGAAATTTCCACAGCATAGTGTCAAATGAAGAAAGTATGTTGGAGAGTGATTTCCATTGAGGCAGACATAGCCCATGGGTCTAAAAAGCTATGTGTCAATATCACAAAGTGAAAAAATCTGTGGTAACCATTAGCAAGCAAATTTTTTTTAAAGATTTATTTTATTTATTTATTTATTTATACAAGCACTGGGTACAGTCAGAAGTGCAGGACGGTGAGAGAATTCACCAGAGCCAGAGTGGGGAGCAGAGCAGGCAGAAGGACCAAAGTACACTGCTAAGGGGAGCAGCGGGCGGCAGGAGAGGTCTGCGCGCCTTGCGGGACCTTCCTCCGGTGGCCGGGGAGCAGCCAGGGATGGAACCGGCGCTGCAGAGGCCGCGGGCAGCTTCGTATCCCAGCACTCAACCACTGCGCCACCGGGGAGGCCCTAGCAAGCAAATTTTGAGCAGGAATGAGTGGGACCATTACTGCTGTAAATTCAAAAATGAAAACGAGATACTGGGGATAGGTAGTTTTGTAGGCCTTAAGAACTCATGGCATACCATGGTGGGTTATAATTCTTTGTTTGACTAGTTTGCAATACACAATCATGATTATTTAGTATTTCAGTAATAGCCTACTTCTTTTCTAATCAGCTCCATGTGACACACATTTATCAGAAAAATAAAAGAAAATTCAAAAATTCATATGATCATTAAAGCAAATGTCTCCTGATTGTGTTTCCATGTTGGATTTAACCTATTTTTTGAGTTTATGAATGGATGCAGAAAGATATTAAAGTATGTATGCAATGCATCTCCTCCTCACACTCACTAAACAAAGGTACTAGAAAACAAAACAAAACAAGCCAAAAATATAGAACTATAACTGAGTGCACTATAAAAAGATCACAAAGCATTGGGGGGTTAGAATTAAACAGACAGGGGACCCACACCTACAGTAAAACAATATGGATACACTGGTGGTTGCTGTCGGCAGGAATATTCATCTGATGAGGTAGCCACACCTATGTGGCTTGGTGTAGGTCTCATTATATTTAAATAACCAAGTATTCTTTTAGTTTTGTGGACCTGTATAATTTATTCCTCTCTCAGGTTTGGGAAATCTTTCTCCTATTATTTCTCTGAAACAAGTTCTCTGTTCTGCCCCCACTCTTCTGAGTACCCGACATCCTTATGAGCCTTTTCTAATGGAATCAGGTAGTTATTGAAATGTTTCATCATTTCCTTTTGTTTGTCTTTCTCTTTCTTCTTCCACCTGGGTCCTTTGAGACCACTGATTCATTCCCCACTTGGTGTAATCTATTTCCATAGCTGTCTCCAGAAACTTTTATCTCCTCTATTGGTCTTTTTACAATCCTACAATTCTTTTATTTTCTTATTTAAATCATTATTTTTATTTCTCATGACATTTGTTCTATCACTTTCATTAGCTTTTCTAAGTTCCTGTGTTTACTTTGACTTGCCTTTCCATGTTTTCTTCCACTTCTTTATCATGACAATTTTTAAGTCTGTATTTGATAAGAGATTAAGTTTTCCTTGTATTTGTGGTTGAACTTTGGATATTTCTCTCCTTACGAAAACACAGTCCCTTGATAGCTCAATGTGTCTTGTGTTGCATTTCTTTGCCTTCTAATTTTGCTGCTTTAGATTTCCCTATTTGTTAAAGTACCTACAGCATTGACTTCAAGATAGAAAATATGCTTGAAATTTTGAAAGATGCCATTGAGTTCCCCTTCAGAATAAACTTACCAAATTCCTCTATCAAAGTGTCTAAGAATACCCCTCACATTTGTCAACCCTTGTTATTATTGTTTTAATGAAGTACTTATCATTATGATTTTAAACATGTTATCTCACTGTTAATTTGCATTTTATGACTACTAGGCAAATTTAGATATCTCTAGTAAAAAACTGAAGTTGTTAATCATAATACTCACTCAAATTTGAATAACTTATAAAAAATAACTAGTACCTACAGTAAAATATTATTACCTATAAGGATCTTTGGTCATTGAAATAGAACAGTGCTGATTACCAGTTTTTCCACTCTTTACTTGTTGAGTTAATCCACTGCTGACACTAGCAGAATCAGACACGTCTTCTAATTTCATGTGACTATTTTTGTGCTTCTTTCCTTCTTTAACCTTTAATCAAAGTTTGATATTAGGGATCACTGTTATTACTTTATTTATTTTAAGAACTTTTTCTTTTCACTATTTTTATAATTTTACTCAGTTTCTTATGATTTTAATAAGTACAAATATTCCCCCCCTCCTCCCAAATGTTTTTCCTTCAAAACTTTCACAAGGTCTGGAACCCTTCCAGGCCTGAAAATGAAGGAGGAGGAAATCCTCACATTCCTTGCAGCAGGAACCCATTTACGCGCCACTAACCTTGACTCCCAAATGGAACAGTACATCTACAAGGGGAAATGTGATGGTACTTACATCACAAATTTGAAGATAACCTGCAAGATGCTTCCATAGGTGGCTCGAGCTGTATTGTCATTGAAACTGGCTGGTATCAGTGTCATATCTTCCAGGAACACTAGCCAGCAAGTTGTTCTGAGATTTGTTGCTGCCACTGGAACCACTCATGTTGCCCATTTCAGTCCTGGAATCTTCAATGACAGGATCTACGTAGCCTTCTAGGAGCCAACACTATCATGGCTGCTGGTCTCAGGACTGACTGCTAATCTAATCTCACAGAGGCATCTTAACTTTAAACCTGCCTATCATTGGTTCAGATAACACAGACTCTCCTCAGTGCTATATGAATTTGTCATCATACACAGCAAGGGAGTCTGAGGTGGTGGATGTTGGCCTATTTAGTTGGAAGACTATTCTTTTACCATTCACAATACCATATTATTTCCATAGAAATACTGATGATTTATCACAAAAGGTGGAATCCAACAATTTATTAAGAAAAGAAACTCAATGGTGAAATTTACCATTAATGAATTAGTAACTAAAAATTTCACTGAAAGAGAAAACAATTGAATAAAATAGCAAAATAGTTCCAAAATCTCTCCTTTAAGGTCTTTAACAAAAAACTTGAGTCAGTTAACTCAAAAAAAAAAAATGTAAGCTTTCATAAGAGAAGAACATTTATTAATTCTCTAAAATGTGCTAAGCCTTCACACATATCTTCAACACAGAAAAGAAGGCATTACGATGATGCTTACCCCACTTCCTGCTTCCTTGTTAGAAATTCTGACATGTTTAAATAAAATGAACAGATATGACTTACTGTTTTCTCTCATCAGAATGTCCTTCTTCTACATCTTCACATGACTGACTCCTTCTCATCCTTCCCTTGGCAGCTTTTGGCTCACTCAGAGAAATCACTTTTGACCATCAAAATATTACTGCTACTCCCATTCCCACTCTGACTATGAACTCCCCCAATCTATTCTAACCTAAAATTCTCATGTTTCTTTATATGAAATACTTAGAAAGACTTACAATGAATCGGCTGCTAATTTTTCTGCTCCTGCAACTTCCAGCCCTCAACTTGTACATGCAGTATCTAAGTGCCATGCACATCGTTGGTATTCAATGATAGAAACTTTAATAGTCAAAACGTTAAAATACTATGAAGAAGGTCTCAAGCACCAAACCACAATATACTACTTATCACTATATAAAAGATATCACTAATAATAGCCCACTTAACATAGCCCTAATAAGAAATCCAAATGCCAATTTTAACACTCCCATTCTTTTCTGATACCACTACCATTTGATTGTCCTTCACAGTTTCAAAAAGTTCTTCAATATTTAGAAAGCACTAAATATCACCCTGATGGCATTGTCGTATTTCTATAACACTCTTTATAGTTTACCATTTATTTTTGTATTTGTTACTACATCTGTTCATTACATATACCTGAGAAGAAAGTATGAATATCATTTTTATAAACAAGGTCACAGACATACAAAGAGGTTCAATAATTTTGTTCAAGAATGCGTGACTAGTAAGTGACAAAGCCAAGATACTAACATGTCTTTTGATTTCAAATATGGTGTTTGTAACATTGAGCAAGACCTACGCTCACTAGTCTTTTTGTTACTCTAATGTATATCACAGTATAATAATGACTGGCCTTAGGGAGACCTGAAATAATTCTTTAGTTTTTAGATAAACATAACTACATAATACAACATGATTTTTTATGACTTCTAAGCCTTAGATTTTGGCACTATACCAAACTAGTTTCATTAAATGCATTTTGCCAATTAGCAGACTTATATGATGTAATAGTGGTGGTAGTACACTTAGCACATAATTATTTTATTAAGTGCACTTTAAAAACTCTAAGGAAATAATTTTATGGCAAACACATAAGTGGGAAACTAAAGTCAAAGAATGTTCTTTACATTTTGAATAACATTCCAATGCTTATATTTTAAAATGATACCATCCCTGGGTGGAATGAGGTCCCAGTGACAGACCTTCTACAACCAGTGGCCACACCCACCCTCTGAGCAACCAGAACAAAGCCAAAGGGCTTTGGGGAAGGCTCCAGGATTACTCCAGATCCAACAATACTCCAGTAGCTATACCCAACATCTAATGAATACCCAAAGCAGTGGGAAAGACACACAATAAAACCCAAAACTACAGCAGAGAAAATCCACAACCAAAAATGGGCAGTAATAAAAATACAAAATGCCAGGCAAGCCATCAGGGAAATAACACACCACTAGAGAAACAAAACTCCAAAACCAAACTACAAACACATAGAAGAGCTTTTTGACCAATCAGATGCAGAATTCAAGTATACCATGGTTAAGAAAACATCAAAATTGGAATAAACAAAACTCAGAAAGAGAAATGAACACTATGAGAAACCCAATCAGCAACAATGATTGAAAGTGTGACTTTAAACAGGAAATTAACAGAATTACAGGAGGAAACAAAAAATTCAGGAGAAAGCCATAAAATTAGCATAAACCAAGTGGAAGAACAAATCAGTGATCTCAAGAATCAAAAAGAGGTAAGAAGCAAGATAGAAAAGGGGAAGGAATGAAGAAATCCTTTGAGAATTATCTGACAGCATGAATCACAGGAATCAAAGATGGAGAAGAAAGAGAACAGCACTGAGGATTGATTTAGGGAAATAGCGCCTGAGAAATTCCCAACCATGAAAAAGGAAATGAACATAGAAATACAGGAGCAAAGGGAACACCAAGCTACTGTTAGGGGAAAAGTATATCCTGAACAAGCTCCACACAGGTTTTGTGGATTCTACACCCCACTCCAAACCAAAGCCATTGAGACACTGGGAACTACAAATCCCATCATGCCCCAAAGGAGAGTTGCTGGGAACTGAGGGTGGAGCTAAGCAGCCAGGCTTGGTATAAAACCAGACATGTGGGCCTTGGGGGACCCCATGGCCTCTCAGCTCTTGGCTTGACTCTTGGCTTTTTGCCATTGGGATTCCAGGTCAGTGGAACTAGTAGGATGCATTCACGAATTATCTCCCTATTTGTCCCTAAGTTAATCATTTCTTCATTTCCCCTTCTTTTGTAAATAAAACCTTTATTAACCTTTTTGTTTTATGCCTGCAGTTGAGTATAATTATAACTCCCTTTTAAGCTCACGGGTGAGGACGCACAGTCAAGCAACCCGTTTCATATTTGGGTTGCCCTGTAACACTACCTAGATAAAAGGAAAACTACTGCCAGTCACAGAATAGTGAAAACCCAAAAGTCTAAGATACAGAAAAAAATAATGAAGCTGATGGGGTGGAAGAAACAGATAACCTATAAAAGAACACTGATAAAACAAACATATCTCCCTGAAGAAACAATATGGGCAGGAAGATAATGAAGTGACATTCAAAATACTCATAAGGAAAAAGAATGCTAGATAATACTCTATCCTACAAGGCTTTCCTTTTTATACAAGAGAGAGATTGGAAGTTTGCATCCATTAAACCTCTCCTCCAAGAAATATTAAAAGAAGCTTTAGGATCCAAAGCAGAGAGAGGGACAAACGCAATTTAGTGAGGAATTAAAAGAACCACATCTTGGAACAAAATAGCAGTGATGGACTTTCATATGCAAATAATTACTCTAAACATTTATGGACTGAATGCACCAATAAAAAGACACAGAGTACATAGTTGGGTTAGGAAACTGAATCCAATCTGCTGCTGCCTCCTGGAAACACATTTAAGTACCAAGGAGAAAGGTAGACTGAAAGTAAAGGAATGGAAAACTATCCTGTAAGTAAACGACACCCAAAGGAAGGCAGGAAAAGCCATACTTACCTATCAAACAAAATAAACATCCAGCTTAAAAAAGTAAAAAGAGATGGGGAATGACTCTATACCATGATAAAGAGAACAATACAACAGGGAGACATAACACTCATCAATATGTACTCAACAAACAAAGGAGAACCAAAATACATCAGACAGCTACTATCAAATCTGAAAACAGACATTGGAGAAAATTCGTATGTGTGGGTGCTGTGCCTGGATCTTTCTTCCTCAATGACGGCACAGTCATTAAGTTGGAATATTCTGACCAGTTTGTACCTTGACCTAGAATGTTCTGATTAATCTACATTTAAAACTATCTAGTTGTACACTACATTACTGAAAGATGGCCCCAAGGACAACGGGCCCCATTGTGAGGTAGGCCTGGGGATGCCTAGGTAGCCATTGATAGGATGCGTTGGTCTGTGTCCAGGGATGGTCTAGGAAATGTTTTGAGATAACATCAAGACATTCCAAAGGGATCTGAGAAGTAGTTTAAGAAGATTATGTATAGATTATTTATGCTATTATCTCTGGTAAACAGACTCATCCTTCTCCTCCCACTCTATCTCCCTCCAGCCCCCATGCAATCATTTTTTTAAAAAAGATTTATCTATTGGGCCTCCCCGGTGGCGCAGTGGTTGAGCGCTGGGCTGCAAAGCTGCCCGCAGCCTCTGCAGCGCTGGTTCGATCCCCACCCACCAGCAAGGGTCCCACATGGCGTGTAGACCTCTCCTGCCATGCTCGCTGCTCCCCTCAGCAGCGTACTTCGTCAGTCTACCTGTTCTGCTCCCCACTCTGGCTCTGGTGAATTCTCTCACCCTCCTGCACTTCTAACTGTACCTAGTGCCTGTATAAATAAATAAATCTTTAAAAAATAAAAGATTTATCCACTTATGCATGTAAGAACTGGGATACAGGCCAGAGGTGTGGGGGTGAGGGGCTTCACCAGAAAAAGAGTGGGGTACAGAAACTGCATACCGACTGAAACACACTGCTGAGGGGAGCAGCAGGCCAGTCAGGAGAGGTCTGCTGCGCCATGTAGGTCACCTCCCCCGCTAGAGATTGAACCTGTGCTACAGTGGCTGCAGACAGCCCCACAGTACTGTGACTGAAACTTCTGCACCACCAGGGAGCCCCTCCCCCAGGCATTCTTGAAATTGTATACTTCCTGTAATCTTTTTTCTCCTATATTGCATGATCAATGACAGAGTGATGGAGGAAAGGAGATACAAGGCCAAGAACCTAACTCATACAAGGAGGTAAGGGTAGAAGGGATTAGCGTAATCCATTAACCCAGTTACAGAAACCAAGACTCTTAGTCATCAATGCCCAGATTCAGGAGGTGCAACACCCAGAAACTAGCAGACTGCCATAGAGGCACAAACCATCCATCCACAAAGATTAGCCCCTTCCTGAAGATTATAAAACCTAAGGCAGCTCCCACAACAGGGCAACACTCTGTTTGCCCACCTGTGACTATGCAGGGTCTTCTTCTCACCAACCTTCTCCCTCTGCAGGGCAGCAGCCTTCCTGCCTGTCCATGACCTATACCATGCCAGGACTTCTCCTCACTGACCTCCCTCAGTGGAGGCGGCTCTCCTCAATGCCGCCCACCTGCAACCATGCAGGCCTCTCTTAGCAAACCTGTCCCTTTTGGAACAGCTCTTTCTGCCCACTTGTGTCTATGCAAGTGTCTTTTACTGTCCTGTTCCTTTTCTAATAAACCTGCTCTTTAAATATAACTACTGGGGACTCCCTGGCAGTGCAGGCAGTTGAGCACAGTGCTGTGAAGCTGTCCGTAGCCTCTGCAGTGTCGGTTCGATCCCCGCAGGCGCAGAGCAACCCACATCGTGCAGCACATCTCTCCTGTCTCACCTGCTTCTCCCCGCAGCAGTGTATTTCAGTAGATCTGCCTGTTCTGTTCCTTGCCCTGTCTCTGTTGAATTCTCTCACCCTCCTGCACATCTGGCCTATACCCCGGTTCTTGTATAAATAAAATAAATCTTAAAAAAATTAAATATAACCATCATCTCTGTCTCGTGAAGAAACTCGCCGCATGTCACTGAAACAGAAGCTCTGGTGAAACCTTTCCCAGGGTGAACCCAAGAATCCCACACTCCAAAAAACCACATCATTTTGGCTCCCAACATTTGGTTTTCCATGGCATCAGTAAGATTTCTCCAGTTTTCTCTATCTTTATGCTATTACATCCTTCTTTTTGAGAGGAGTTGGTGTTTGGCGACTGTTTGGCTGTCCTACAAAGACTGAGGGGCTCAGGCCAAGGCTACTCTTTGGCGGGTCCCAAAACATGGAGGCACGACCTTCCAGTTGCCCTAAGCCCGACGAGTGAACACCTCATGCCTCTCTCTTTGCCTCACTCGGTTGCTAATCAATTGCAGTCGAGCCGCTGTTCCCTCTCTACCTGGGGAACAGAGCTGGCTCCTGAGGTCTCACTCTTGCCCTCCCAAAAAAAATAGTGGGCACGGGTCGGCCATGTAAAGGCCACTAGGGCTGGCTGCCACTTTCTAGAAATCTCCCTAAAAGAAAAAGTTGGCGTGCACCCCAGGTTAGCTCTTGTCCCGCCAACCGCAAGAAGGGTGCAGCAATGTAGGAACTCCTAATAAGCATTCCACATGTCCCACCCCGCAACTCTCCACCTCTTGGGATTGTGAAACGAGACCTGGACTTGCTTTTCATGACCAATTTTCTAGTGCTCTTCCCTAACTCGAACCACATTCTGTCACAACTTCCTTTTCATCCTAATCAACTGCAATGAGCCACAGGTAGCCAGTAATCCATCCGGCCTTGTTCTTGCTTAGGTAGTGCTCCCCCTCTGAGAGTTCCCCCTCTCTGAATTCTTGTCTTTTAAGTACCTTCCTAGGTCACTGGTAATTTGATAGTCTCCTCCCCTTGCTATGGGAAGATTTCCTCTCCTTGGTTAATAAGTGGACCCAAGCCTTTAACTCAAGGTTCAACTCTGAAGGTTCTTGTTATATCTGCCTTACTTTCAAGATTTGTGAGGGACTAACACAAATCCAGTCAGCTATCTCAGATCTTTTTTTTTTTTTTTAAGATTTATTTATTTATTCATCCAAGAACCAGGGTACAGGCCAGATGTGCCAGAGGGTGAGAGGACTCACCAGAAACAGAGTGGGAAACAGAACAGGCAGACTGATGAAACACACCGCTGAGGGGAGCAGTGGACACAATAGGAGAGGTTGGCCCTGCCATGTGGGACACTCGCTGGCTGGCCAGGATCGAACCAGCACTGCAGAGGCTGTGGGCAGCCTCACAGCTTGGCGCTCAACCGCCTGCGCCACCAGGGGAGGCCCCATCTTAGATCTCACAGTGTCAGAGCTAGGCCTCTTGGTCTTGCATTGCAACTCATCATAAATGCTACAGGGGTTTCTTGTTAAATGGTAGTAAGATCAGCTATATGTGGGCCAAATTCAAGCTGTTCTTCTTAAATAGGAATTATGAGGCAGCCTGCCTTCCACCCAGAGAAGAGGGAATGCCAAAGACAGATAGTATGTCGAAGCCTGAGCATGCTCAGGTCTAGGGGAGTTCCTCCCCAATATGGGGACGTCCACAAAAAATAGGATTACTCCCCTGGGGCACACCTGTGGCTGCTGCCACTCTGGGGGTATGCCCATGGCTGCCCCCACTCTCCGGGGGTACGCCCGTGGCTTCCCCCGCTGCACTCTGTCCGTGACAGGTTCAGGCTCTTTCAGGAGCACATCCATGATGGGGTCTGCTCCCTCCATTCCTGTGGACTCATCTCCTATCTTCTTATAAAATTCCTGCTCTCACTCAACCTCACTATTTCTGTCAGGTTTTTATAACAATCTCTCTCATTTTGACTCTTTTTTGATCCCTTTCATGATTATAAGACTCTGGGATAACACTAGATGAATTCACTTATCTGTAGAATTTAATAAAGAAGCAAAGTAAGAGAACAAACCAAAATGAACCCTTAAAATATGACTATAGAAATGAGGCTACCAGAGGGGCAGAAAGGAAGTGAAGTGCAGATGAGGCCCAGTGAATAGGGTGCAGGATTATAGGGGCTTTAGTGGTGGGTGTGGTATAATAATGTACATTTTTTGAGGTGTGAAACTATATCCCTAGAATATATACAGTGTTATAAATCAAATTTACCCCAATAAACATTAAAACATGTATTAATAAAGTCAGCTTCTTTCAAGACAGAAAGAAAAAAGGAAACCAATGGGGCAATAATTCATGAATGAATGAATGCCACACTGAGATACTAAATGGAAACGAAATTCAGAGCAGAACATTTCACACAGCTCACATTACCTTAGTTTCAAAATCTACGATTTCAGATAATGTAGAACACGAGTCATCAAAGTTTAGTTTCATGGGACGCCTTTAGAGATAAAATATACAACAAAAATTTCATTTCTACATTGAAAAATCAAGTGAAACTTCAGCTACCTACATGCTAAATTAATTTTCTTTATATAATTCAAATTTGGGATCAATTTATTTTTTTCAAAAAAAACTTTTGTATCTATTTCTGCCTCTATTTCCCCCAGCCTGTGAAATGTCCAATAAAATTCAATTCTTTGTGCCCATAACAAAAAAATTAGAGCTTCTGAGAAAAAAGTAGTTCTTACAAAAAGTACTGACAGTTAAATTGAAAGTCCAATTAATAGATGGCATAATTTTTATTATCTGAACTACAATAAACCTGATAACCTAAAGAAAGAAGAAAGATATACTGTTTCTTCTTCATAACCTGTCCGTGGTTCAAAGACCAATCTATGTCAGTCAAAAATGGCAGTCTTATTCCTTCAGCATGCAAACCACTTATTCAGATTCATTCCTTCCCTTCACTCTCAAATTGTATAGGGAGGTCCCTAAAATGTTTGAAAACTAAATGTACTGGAGTCAAAGAATAATTACTAATCCCAGAGGAATTAAAACATTAAAAATGATAAATTCTGATTATTTTTCCTATATAGTTCCTGCCTTTTTCAGGTCCCCATAAACTGGCAAGCCTTTAAAAATGTTCATAAGTACTTAGATACCCAAGGAGAGAGACTACTGCAAAGACAATGTCCTGAGTTCTGCCACTATTTCCCTTGCATACAATTTAAATATCTCCCTTACTACAGGGCTCCCATTCCCCCACATCTACCAGGCTCAGTGGCAGTCTCCAACCTTTAAATCTTCAACCTATGACGGCACAGATTCCAGAACCAAGGCTGGGCTCAAATGACCAAGAGTAGGTCATTTCCCCGCTGCTGGAAAATAAGCGAAACAAAGCTTATGCACTCACTGCCAACACAGGCCTGTGATCAAGCAGCCAGATGAGGCCCTGTGACTGACCTGACAGTCATCCTAGCTCCATACAACCGTGCCAGCACATGGACAGGGACATCGGTGAATTGGAAAGGAAGGCAGAGATTAGGAGATACCTGCCTTAGGTGAAAGATCTATGTAGGTTAGTAATCTCAACTACCGTGGTAGGTGTGGGGGATCTAAAGCAGCTTCTGTAACTTGGTGTGGAGGAGGATATCACAATCCTATTTTCGATAAAGAGAATCTTCCCAATGGCTCATATTGTTGTTTTTATGTGTTTTGATATAAATGAAGTATGCTAGTTCCCTCAATTCAACAAACAAAAAAGCAGCAAACTATTTGTCTCCTTTAAACTTTCTATTTAATATGTCTCTACTTAATATTCCCAACATGCTTGTTCCTGTAGTTTCTCTTTATATAACTTGCATAAACCCCAATATTTTGTAACTCTTTTCTAAAATCCTTATTCCTATCAACTCGGTGGTGGTGGTCTTGAAGTTTGGCCGCCTCTATTAATTCATTCTTACCTTCTTCCGTTGTGTTCACTAGATCCAATTCCCACCTCTCTATTATTAAAAACTCACCTAGAGACAATCTCTTTTCAAAAGGAAAAATCTGAATTTAAATCTCATATTTGCCATATGCCATACCCAAAGAAATCAGTTTAATCTCTTTGAATTTCAAATTATTCATTTGAACAGCTATTTGGCTCAGAAGATAAACACAGGCTGAAGTACTACAGGGTGTTTGATTGACTGAATCTCTAAGATTCTTTAAAATTCTGAAATTCTACATGCTTTTTTGCTTTTTATTTTGCTATAGGAAATTGGAGAATAACTCCCTGGTAGAAGTAGAAAAAATTAGAACAAAACAACCATCAAGAACAGCAGAGAAGAAAGTAAAAAAAAAAAAAAAATCAAGAAAAGCTTATGGAACTTATAGAAAAGTTATGGAAGAAGAATAAAAAAGGGTATACCAAAAATGAAAAGACTACAGAGTACTAGCCAAGGCTACTAGCCTAATGATTACACCAAACTATGAAGTCACAAAGTATAGAAATCCATGAGAAATATCCTTTAAATACATACTGAGGTTAACATAAGCTGTTCTATAAACCACAGATCATCTTCACCTAAAGAAGAACACCTAAAGAAGACCTACATGATTGAGTCTTGCTGATGTAAAACCTGCAGTTTATGACCACATCTAACTGAGATCTACCCTAAAACTTTTGATGGTAAATGCAAAGTTTTAGTTACCACTGCCATTGTTAAATGTATTGGGACAAATGCTTGGACTAAGCCAGCTTCTTAGGGAAACCTGAAAATAAAAATTAACACATAACTAAATTGAACTTTCTGAGTTGGTTTGAGTTGGGTCTATATATTCATGCCAGAGCTGCACAAGTACCTAGGGACAAGAGAATGAACAGGGAAGCCAGGCAGGCTAATGGTCAAGTCATGGAGCAAATACCTTCTTAACTATGGAATCGTGGATGAACTAAGTTTGCTTTACTAATTATTGTCACATGTGATGCTTCCTGAAGCACAGATGCCAAATTGGCAAGAAATGATGATATACTATATATATGAACTGTATGATATCATATATATGAAACTGTATGATACCATATATATGAAATTCTGACAAAGACGTAACCATGGAGACAGTAAAAAGATCAGTGGTTTCCAGGGATAAGAAGAAGAGAGAGATGAGTAGACAGAGCACAGAGGATACTTAGAGCAATGCAACTATTCTGTATTCTGTACAATACAACAATTGTGGATCTATGTCAATATACCTTTTTCAAGATCCATAAAATACATAAAGTAACTGGAACAGCAGTTACTTTGCAAAGGTATTGAAACGACTATATGAGATAACAAATGGGAAGCACATAACACAGTGTCTAGCCTGAAATAAAACACTCAACGAATATTGATTGCTTTTCTCTGCATTCCATCAGTTGAGACATTTTTAAAATCTGTAAAATCCTACCTCTTAACAGTGTCCTTGTGAAAATTCTCTTTTGCTAGTAATGAAAAAAACACATTTTAATCAACAGTAGAAAATGTACAGAACATTAAGAGTATAAGACAGCTAACAAATATTCCTTAGGGACCAACTTGGAGACAATACTAGAAAGAACTCTTGGGCTCCCCCCTCCTTTATATTTATGAAAAGCAAGACATCTGATATCACTTATCAAAGTATATTTAATGACATTTAGTACCAACAGTGAATTGCTATTTACAGTGAACATAATTCTAGTCAAACCTATAGAACTGACATAAAATGGTATCATTAGCAGACTCAGCATCATAAACTGACAATCTTCTAAACAGCACGAATGTTCTGGATAGCCACCATTAGAAATACTTAGAGGAGAGTAAAATAATTTTGCTGTGACATAACACAACTTCTCCAGGTTTTTAGTCAACACCACTTGATTTACTGTAAAACATGGACTGTGATGGAGGACTATGGGTGCTTTGGTGGCAGGTAAACTATAGTGACCACATCTGAGAGAAGAAAACCTATATTGTGAGAATACAAACAAGGATGTAAAGTAATGATATGTCATCATTTAAAAAACCAGGGAAACTTGGTCCAGAGACACTATACAATGCAGCAGGAAAAACAGGAAACACTTTCAGACTGTGACTCTAGTTTGATAATAGTGACAGTACTGTGGAGACTATCTCCTTCCATAAATAGTCTCTCTGGATATACTTCATAGAGTAGGATGGTTCAGTTAATGCTGCATAGTAGTGAATGATGTCATTTTTCTCAACCCTCCCCATTATGCATCCAACATTTATAGAAATTAGGATTTTTAGTTTGTAAGGCATTACTGTCACATGCTATGCTTATGAATAGCAGCAAAAACCATAAAGAACAAGGAACATCTTGAATGCGAACATTTTAAGCTATATGATATGATATACCATATATATATGAACTGTATGATATCATATATATGAAACTGTGTGAAACCATATATATGAAATTCTGACAAAGGCGTAACTATGGAGACAGTAAAAAGATCAGTGGTTTCCAGGAGTTAGAAAGAAGGGAGAGATGAGTAGACAGAGCACAGAGGATACTTAGAGCAATGCAACTATTCTGTATTCTGTACAATACAACAATTGTGGATCCATGTTAATATACATTTTTCAAAATCCATAAAATACACAGCACTGAGAGTGAACCCTAGTGTTAAAATTAATTATGACTTCTGGGTGACAATGATGAGGCAGTGTAGACGCACACATTTTTATAAAGGTACAACTGTGGTGCAAGATGTCAACAGCACATTTGGCTGCTCATGTGTGGGAGCCAGGATATACAGGCACTCTGTACTTTCTGCTCAGGTTTGCTGTAAACCTAAAACTTTTCTAAAGACTTTTTTTTCAAAGGGTTTCCTCTGACATACTACTACCACATAATAATTTATCAAGGCACAGTCACTTCAAAAATGAAAATAAAGTAAGCAAATACGGATATTATCTCCCTAGCTGATGTACATGAATATATATATATATAAATATAATAACCTCTTTTAATTTTAAACTTAAGTGGCAAAATCTGATACATATTATTGACTATGTTGTTTTCTAATTACAATGGGATTCAGCATAATAAGAATCAAATTAGATCATCCGCCTAATAAGCAATTTTTATTTTAATTTTAAATTAGAACTCGCTATGCTTATTTTGTCTCAGAATTATCCTGAAAGAGTAAGAAGATATAAAGAATACATTGTAATTATCTATAATAACCACAATAGTTTCTGTATAAATATCTGTTAAGCATTCATTAAAAATCAAAAATGTAACCAGCACTGTAATTTAAGGTGGATGATGCAACTGAAACTAATACTGTGTTATATCTTTATATTACCTATTAAAATAAAATTTTAAGATAAAGCCAAACATTAAGGTTAGCATAACTACTAGAAAGATTTCAGGCAGTGAGCCTGAGACTGCTCTCCTTAGAAATTCCTCTTGAAATGGCTGACCCTTGGTGGGTGTCTGGGAAAGTGGATTTGGGGAAGGTTCCTTCTATTCCCCAACTGTGCTAAATTATGAGTACAAACAATGTGGTTTCTGCTGAACATTTGCTTTCTTTCTGGGGAAGTGGAATTTCAGTACATGCTAGGGAGAGGATGTCTAGGCTGCAGCAAAACCCTGGAGCACTGGGTCTACTGAGACACTGGGGCTGTCAGACACCCACTTTACATGTGCTGTCATATTTTGAGATGGAGGAACTAGGCACAGTCTGAGAACGCCACAGGGAAAAGATGCTTAAAAGCTTGCACCTGTCTTCCTTCAGCGTTTGCCCCAGACATCTTTTTACTTTGCTGCGCTTTCCTTGCATCCTTTCACTATAATAAATCACAAGCATGAGGGGCCTTCCAGCCCCAGTGGCACAGCGGGTTGAGTGCAGCACTGTGAAGCTGTCCGCAGCCTCTGCAGTGCCAGTTTGATTCCCGGCCAGCCAGGGAGATTCCCACGTGGCACGGCAGACCTCTCCGGTCCTGCCCGCTGCTACCCCCAGCAGTGTATTTCAGTCCGTCTGCCTGTTCTGCTCTCCACGCTGTCTCTGGTGAATTCTCTCACCCTCCTGCACCTCTGGCCTCTACCCCAGTTCTTGTATAAATGAATAAATGTTAAAAAATCAATCACATGCATGAAAACTACTATATGCTGAGTCCTGCCAGTTCAGTGAATAACCCGAGCTGGTGTGGTTAGGGAACCCCTGACACAACCACATGAAATGAAATTCTTATCTTGAGGGTTGATATTTCAGACATAATTACTGTCAAAATGACATTTCACAGAATACCTTTACTTGAATCTGTGCTTGATCCTGGTCCTGAAAATGTGTGTACTTCTGTCCATTCAACTAAATGCATAAAAGATACAGATGAAACAAGGATATCAGAAAATAATATGAAACAAGTAACAATTCTATGTTAAAAAGAATTTAAAATATAGAATACTGATGAGTGACAATATGTTCTATAGCATAAAAGTTCCTGTAAAAAAATGAAAGGCTCACATAGTCAATTTTCTTCAACTAAGCAGGGTTTATTTTATTCCTCTTTATAATAGTTGTGACACCAACAGGTAATTGGAATAATTATGTAAAAATAAAACTATCACATATGTATAATAACATACTGATTATAGAATACTGGTTTCTAATTCTTCCCTTAATTTCATATAAAACTAGAAACATAGTTTAGGGGCCTCCCTGGTGGTGCAGCGAGTTAAGCGCAGCACTGTGGAGCTGTCCACAGCCTCTGCAGCACAGGTTGGATTCCCATCCAGTCAGGGAGATTCCCACATGGCACAGCAGTCAGGCCTCTCCTGTCTCACCCGCGGCTCCCCTCAGCAGTGTCTTTGGTCCATCTGCCTGTTCTGCTCCCCGCTCTGTCTCTGGTGAATCCACTCACCCTCCCGCACCTCAGCCCTGTAAACCAGTTCTTGTATAAATAAAAATAAATCTTTAAAAAAAAATTTAACAAGTCCTAGTTGTTTTAATGTGATTAGAGGAAATATATACAAACTTAAATTTTTAGAACTTTTTTTAGAAAGGCAATACTGTCTCAGATTTCAAATGACTACAAGTAATTTCTTTAATTCTGAAGAACAATGCAAGTAAGAAATTTTAAATATACAGGCAATTTGTACATCTTTTTCATTGCTCTTTCATTATCAAAATTCCTGTATTCTTATTTTTTCCTCTGTGGTAGCACCACCAAGAGTAATTCACTATCTGAGTCTTACCTAGATCATTCTCTTCCTTCTTTTATCATTTTCCTTTTATTTCTCCTTTTCGTTCTTTTCTTTCTTTTTGTTCTGCTTGTCCTTTTCACTTTTATGGTCAAATATTATTTTGTGGTTGCTATATGTAAAGAAAGGATATTAACAAAATTGCTAATTTTAATACTTACGTGAATGTTGGGAGAGACCCCGCAAAATGAGCAGAAGGGTCTTGACCTGAGTCTCTAAGGCATGTGAAAACACATGAGTCACGGAGGAAAACCTCTGAGTGACTGGACCTGCTGTTGAGCGCCTGGAAAGTGATCTGGGTAGAGTCATGCCTCAGTATCTCCACAGCCAAAAACCAATTAGGAGCAAAACTCCTCTGCTCTAGCTAATGAGCAATCAGATTACATATAGGAGCTGACCACCTGGCACTTAAAAGTCGGGAGTAGGCAAATATCAGCAGCAAAGTAAAATAGTTAATCATTTCAGCTGTCATTTTATGGTACACTTTAATGTTATGCCTAATGCACTCTGAGAAAGTATATAATGAGCACTAAGACACTAAAGATTCACTGCATGCTGGACATGACAGTCCCCCATGTCTGATTTCCCTCACCGTGTTGTTGCAGGTCCAGGACTCACTACAAGTCCACATGTGAACAACGTTTTTATTCTTAGAATATTTCAGGTAATAACAGAGAATATCAAAACTTTAATTATCCACACACTTCAAATGTGTAAGTGCTACAATTTGTTTTTAATCAAACAAGTAACTTAAGGGTGAAAAGGGGCTGCAGAGTACAATAAATTAGAGTTAGATTAAAATATGGAAAGCAGGAGGGGGCGGAGCAACATGGCGGCAAGGAGACGCTGCGAGTAAGATCTCCCATTAAAAAAAGTTAATAGGGAGGAAAAGCGGCAGGTCCCGGTGAGAACTGGGACACGGAAGATAAACGGACGACTCCAGCAAACTACCTGAAGAAGAAAGTTGCCATAAAAGAGGACCAGAAGGGAGGAAAGCGCAGAACCCTGCTCCCCTCCCCCGCCCACAGAGTCGGCACTCTCCGACCAGCAGAGAGGAGGAAAACAACAAACCAAAATGGCCAACAAGAACAAACGACGCAGCAAGCGGGACTGGGAGTGGAAAGGAACTATTGTAGCCACCACACCCCGTGAACGGGAGCTGTGGAGAACCCTGCAGGATCCGCCGCAGCGGTGAGCGAAAGGCTCCGGGCGCCATTAGAGAAGAACAAAGACCCCGGGAGATGTGCACACAGCCCCTGCTGCCGGTAAGCTTGCGCGGAAAAACGGCGCGCTTGGCAGCGCGCTTGAAAAGCAAATGCAGACCGGGACCACCTCTGCCCAGGTCCCTGCGCCTGCGACCTAGGCTTGCGGGGAGACGCGCGGAGGCCCTCACGGGGGTGAAAGTCCCTCCCTGAGTGAGCAGGAACCAGGCGCCCAGGCACTGGAGCTGGGTGCAAAAGGCGCCATTCCCGCGCCACTGAACTGGGCTACAGCCCGCGTCCTGGACCTGAGGGCTTTGAACTGAGACCCGGGGCACGAAAACTCGGGGCGTGGGTTCTCCACGACGGTGGGGCACAAGGCAGACACAGCACCCCAAAGCTGTTGAGGCTTACCCTACCATTCCCGCTCTATTCCCTGTCCCACAGGGTAGGGGGAGGCGAAAAACAGCCCCCCAAGGACAATAGGAGAGATCTCTGGCGCCACCTAGCGACCAGGAAAAAAAAGTCACTGACACCCCATAGAACAGGAAATTTCTTAAGACTGCTTGAGAAGGGCAGAAGGCTTCTGGAGGACCCAGTGGCCAGCCCGGAAGTTAGCCCACGCCAGGACACTTCCGACCAGCAGTCTGAGCCCACAGAGGGAGCAGGCACCCACGTCCGGGGCAGACCGGGCACACAGAAGAGTGTGCCTGAGACCGGAGGCGCAGGGACTGCATCCCGCTTCGCCATTATAGAACAGGGACATTTCTAAAGTAAAAACTGCCTAAAACCATCAGAAAGCTCCCCCAGAAGCCAGAGATGGCTCCTGCAGGAGCCAGAGGGGAGCGGAGAAGTTCACCCAAGATGCCAGCCAGTCCGAGCAACACAGTGTCCCAACGCATACGACAAATTAGAAAACAGACAGTAGGGAGTAGAAGAACCCCATGCAACCTAACAACGCCTCAGGAAAGCAGCACACCACAAAAAGAAAACCACTCCCCAGATTGCAACGACAGCAACTTGGAAGAACTTCTGAGCCTTTCAGAAAGAGAATTTAAAATTGCCATGATTAAAAAAGTGATAGATCAGAAGAAGGAAATTGAGTCCCTAAAGAGGGAAAACAATGGTCAGAAGAATGAAATTGAGTCCCAAAAGAGGGAAGTAAAAGAAATGCAGGAGATCAAAGAATAAATGGAGGAACTAAAGAACTCTGAGAAAAGCAATGAAAGCAGAATAGATGAAATGGAAGAACGAATAAGTACTCTTGAAGACACAGAAATAAAAAGAACCAAAACAGAAAAGGAAAGAGAAGTAAGAAGGAAAAAGAATGAAGAAAGACTCCGGGAACTATCTGACTCCATGAGGAAAGGAAATATAAGAGTTATAGGAATTCCAGAAGGAGAGGAGAGAGATGTAGGAACAGAGAAAATATTCCAGGAGATAATTGAAGAGAACTTCCCAAATGCGAAGAAGGAGCTGAAAATTGATATACAAGAAGCAAGAAGAACACCAAACTTCCACGACGAAAGGAAAAACACAGCAAGACACATAATAGTAAAGCTCCCAAGAATCCAGGACAAGGAAAAAATAATGAAGCTGACAAGAGGGAAGAAACAGATAACATTCAAAGGAAAACCAATCAGGCTGACATCAGACTTCTCTGAAGAAACACCACGGGCAAGGAGAGAGTGGAGGGACATAGTCAACAGACTCCAAGAAAACAGATCCAACCAAGAATACTCTATCCCGCAAAGCTCTCTTTCCTCCATGAAGAAAGAATATGGACCTTCCCAGACAAAGAGAAACTCCGGAATTTCATTGCGACTAAACTCCCACTCCAAAAAATGCTACAAGGAATCCTAAAGCCAGAACCTCAGAGGGACGAATAACAACGAAAAAAGACCAAAAAAAAAAAGTTATTAAAAGAATAAATAAATAAAATCAAAGGAAAGACAAACACAATGGCAAATACAGATGCTAACATATCAATATTAACTCTAACTGTAAATGGACTAAACTCTTCAATAAAAAGACACAGAGTTGCAGCCTGGATTAAGAAACAAAACCCAACCTTTTGCTGTCTCCAGGAAACACATTTAGCTACAAAAGATAAAAATAGGCTCAAAGTCAAAGGATGGAAAACAATCCTACAAGCAAATGGGCCAAAAAAGAAAGCAGGAACAGCTATACTTATATCAGATAAAACAGACTTCAAACTCAAAAAAATAAAAAGAGACCCCAATGGTCACTACATTATGATCAAGGGGACAATACTTCAAGAAGAAATAACACTCATTAACATATACTCACCAAACGAAAGAGCACCAAAATATATCAGACAACTGTTGTCCTCTCTGAAAACAGACATCAGAGAAAACACATACGTAGTGGGAGACTTCAACACACCACTATCAACAATGGATAGATCAACAAGACAAAAAATAAGTAAAGAAACTAAAGCTCTAAATAAGGACCTAGAGCATTTGGGCTTAACAGACATCTATAGAACACTAAACCCAAAAAAACGGAGTACACATTTTTCTCAAGCGCACACGGATCATTCTCCAGGATCGATCACATACTGGGGCACAAGACAAACATCAACAGATACACCAAGATTGAAATCATACCAACCATCTTTTCTGACCACGAAGGCATCAAACTAGAAATAAACCATAAAAAGAAGGCAAGGAACTACCCTACCTCATGGAGATTAAAAACCACACTAATGGAAGACCACTGGACTAACGAGGAGATCAAAGAAGAAATTAAAAAATTCTTTGAATTGAATGACAAGGAGGACACCAATATCCTAAATGTATGGGATGCAGCAAAAGCAGTAATAAGAGGAAAATATATAGCAATAGAAGCTCACATCAAAAAACAAGAAAGAACTCAAAGAAACTACCTAAACTCGAAGCTCAAAGATCTAGAAAAAGAACAACAAAAAACCCCAAAACAGTAGAAGAAAAGAAATAATAAAAACCAAAGCAGAAATAAATGAAATTGAAACTAAAAAACAATCCAAAAGATCAATGAAACCAAGAGCTGGTTCTTTGAAAAAATCAATAAAATAGACAAACCCCTAGCCAGGCTCACAAAGGAAAAAAGGGAGAAAGCACAAATACACAGGATCATAAATGAAAGAGGAGAAATCACAACGGACACAGCAGAAATCAAAAGAATAATCAGTAACTATGAACAGTTATATGGAAACAAGTTCAACAATCTAGAGGAGATGGACAAATTCCTACAACTCTACAATCACCCAAAGCTAGATAAAGAAGAAATAGAACACCTAAACAGACCAATTACAAGCAGCGAAATTGAAATGGTAATCAAAAACCTCCCCAAAACAAAAGCCCAGGACCTGATGGATTTACAAATGAATTCTACCAAACATTCAGAGACGAATTAGTGCCTATCCTTCACAAACTCTTCCAAAAAATTGAGAAGGAAGGGACAATACCAAACACGTTCTATGAAGCCAACATTACACTAATACCAAAACTGAACAAGCACAACACAAAAAAGGAAAACTACAGGCCAATCTCCCTAATGAACACTGATGCAAAAATCCTCAATAAAATTTTAGCTATCAGAATCCAACAATGTATCCATAAGATAATTCACCACGACCAAGTAGGATTCATTCCAGGGACACAAAGATGGTTTAACATCCGAAAATCAATCAACGTTATCCAACACATCAACAAAAAGAAATATAAAAACCATATGATAATATCAATAGATGCTGAGAAAGCTTTCGACAAAGTGCAACACCCATTCATGATAAAATCCCTTGAAATTCTTGGGATACAAGGAACATACCTCAACATCATAAAGGCCATCTATGACAAGCCAACAGCCAGTATCATTCTCAATGGTGAAAAGCTGAAAGCAATTCCATTAAGATCTGGAACAAGACAAGGATGTCCACTCTCACCACTGCTTTTCAATATAATACTGGAAGTCCTAGCCAGAGCAATAAGACAAGAGAAAGACATCCAAGGAATCCAAATAGGAAAAGAAGAAGTCAAACTATCACTATTTGCAGATGACATGATA